GGGATTTGCACCCACAACCTTTGCACCGGTATCGCAGAGGTCATGGGTACAAATGCCGTAGGGGCCTGAATTTTTTTCAGGTCTTATTTCAACTACTAGCTCAGTAGTGTTCATAGCTGCGAGGATCTCTTATATTCGTTTCTTCACCGCAGTGCATATGTATGATTTTCATATGTCTACAAAGTCGTAATAATCTTGAAATTAAACAAAAGGGTATAACTCAAACGTGTATTTCAGCGTATGGTCCGTTTATTTTAGAAAACACAGAAAGTAATTGAATCCCTCCAACTAACCTCGTTCGAGGTCTCCACTGTTAGTTACAGACCTAGATTTTCCGGTCGAAGCTCGAAGCCGATATATTGACCAATCACAGAAAGAAGCTGGATCCGCGGCCTCATACCAAGTGTGACAAGTTTTCCCTGACGCGTATTCTACCAAGATTCGTGCGATTTGCATATGTTGTTTCATTTTAATTTTCTGATGGATTTTTCTATATTTGGGTTGTATTGTACCCTTGCAAAACTTATTGGGACAAATTTCGCAAGCACTCGCCGAACGCGTGACCTTTGAACAAATAACAATTGCGATCGTGTGTTACAACCAATCACAGATGACAAATAGTGCTAAAGTAATTACTTCAAAATGCTTCGTATCTATGCTGCGCGTGAATAATTAGAGTAGAATAAGCTTACCACGTGGAGAATCATGATCAGTACTTGCAGGAATAAAGTTAAGGTAAGCGCAGAGGTTTTTTGCAGTTCAATATTCATCCAGTGCGATGCAAGCTCCAGCACTATCTTGTTCGAATTAATTGAAGGAGAAGACCTACTGTGCACAGGCTCGCGATGTCGAAAGCGAATTGATTGGCAAGTTCAAAGTCCTTAATATAACCGCGAGTTTTCGTTTATTTACCTTCTCGATCGATGTTGCGAGCAGTGTTTTGATTTTTTACTTATGTTCATCATTTTGAACGCAAATATTTCTCCCATCGACTTGTGAGTGAGCCAGAAATTATTTCAGATTCAAGGTTTTCCCTGGGAGCTCTGCCAAACGTCATAAATTTATGCATGTAAAAAGTTATGTGTTTTGTGCTCCGAACACGTGGAGTATTGATGAGAATGCTCTTCAAAATCTCATCTTAAATCCATTAAAAAAAAACCTTTATAGTTATTAATTGGCCGTGTATGTTTGGAAATATTTTTAAATAAATCTTTGAAATGCATTGATTCATTCAGCGATAATAAATTAATGAGTTCTCCATGATAATTCATCACACAGTCCAGCAGATAGGGAAAGAGAACCAGGAAAACCATCAGTTGTGATGGTTTTGTCAATGAAAGAGAACACAAACTGAGATTGCTTTTTTCTTATAATTTACAATGGTAATAGGACCGAGTGGAGTCCAATTCGGTCTGTAATCATATGAGTGATTAACAAAATTGGATGAACGTGAAGCAGGAGTCCAATTTGCCAATCACGAGTATGATTACAGACAGAATTGGATGAGAAGAAATCCCGTTATCATAGCCGTTACAATTTCCAAAAACAACAAATACATTTAGGTCAAATGTCTCATGTAGATGTCTCAAGTAAAAAAACTTCTCCATTTTGGAAATTCCTCAATTATTTTTTAGGATAAGTGGTTGTTGTTATGGTTATTGTGATTAATTCTGTGATTGGTGGATTGGGCTGAGTGGACTTAGTATGATTAGCTTCTTCAACTGTCCACTTACAGATGTCCGATTACAGCCACATGTCTGATTACACTGTCCAATTACAGCTCTATAAAATTATTAGTGAAAAATAAAGCAGCTAATGCACCAATCACGTTTAAGGAAGTTGTAATGGTTATGATTAACTGAAGGATAGAAACAATTATGACATTGCCATTTGCGTTATTATTTTCTGTTACATAAAACAAATAGGCTCCATGTTACCATGGACCTGTACAGTAATAAATGACTGAAGATGCCAATGTGTCAATAACTTCATTGGCACACTCAGCTGTGCCTCTTGTGCCACTTTCTTGTTCTTGCCACATTTTGACATTAATGAACAGATGCACAGCAACATAGAATTTATTTGTTAAATAGCACACAAGCAGAATTTTTGAAACTAAATTTACAGCTTAAGTCACCAATTTAGCAACCTGTTGAAGGGGGTCTTGTAGTGTTAATGCATTTATAACTTGTGTTTATGGTCTTAAGGAAAAGTAAGGTAATCATTTTCAATGATACCACTTACACTCCATAGTTTTTTAGATAAGAATTTGCATCTCTCTCTTTGATTTCTGAAGTATAAAGCCTTTTTATTCTGTGTTAGTGAACCCCAACTCTCCTAAAAATCAATCATTTAAAATTTAATTGCAGAAGTGACTCTTTAGTTACCCACCTGCCATAAAATGTAATCACCTCAGTGATACAATAAAGCATGGCTAGTGAGGTGTCATCTCAAAATAGCAACTCAGTTTTGCTTGGAAGGGGGGATCATTTGCAGATAC